TTGGGAAGCTGTGCAGGAATCCAGGAGGAATAAATTACTGGACACAGTAAAGCAAGGAAGAAGGAATAGCTTGGATGAGGAGTGCAGCTGGGCCATCTGCACCAGGCCACTGCAATGGTTTAAAGCCCACAGCATCCTTGGCAGGCTGGCCAGACTCAAACTGTGCCAGCCCCTGGCAGCAGAGCTGTGCAAATCCACACTGGAGAGCCAGAATTTCTGTCTGACCTGTCCTGCCTTCTGCCACAGCTTCCCTGCTGCCCCCCACCAAATTACAGGAAGGTGGGAACACCCCAAAGTCTGTGCTGGCATTTTTAAAGCTTAAAAAAGAAACAAACCTAGCTACAATAACCCTTTAACTACAGAAAAGTAGTTTTGGTTCTTTAATGACCCTGTAGTTTTGGGAGGGAGTAGATGAGATGGGGACCAACCTGCAGCTGCAGTGACATAAGGATCACAAAACTGCCTGGAGCTAGAAGTGCACAAGAGCAGCCACTGAGCAGGGTCACTTCTGCCTCGAAAAGCTGCTCTGAGCAGGAGGAAGCTGGGAATATTGGTTTGGGTTTGAGGATTTCATATTAGGAATCTTGCAGCCCTATCCCCTCTCACTCCATGCTGATCCCTACGGATAGCATGGAAATCATGGGCTGCAATTTTAAACCAGACCTTGGGAGACAACCAAGAGCATCCCAGCCACTGGGTAAGGCCTCTCTGCAGTGCAGAGTCAATCCTATTTGTGTCCCAGCCTGGACACAAGCTTCCTACCTTCCATCCCATAGCACCGGGTATCGGGAAAGGCAAGAACTACATCCACCCTCCTAGTCAGGCTCAAAAAATACAGCCTAAAGACTGGAGACACCCAACAATCTGGGACCACGTCCCCTTAATGCTGGCAATGCACAAAACATTCCTCTGAAAGCATAGCCTCCTTTCCTTGCTGGGAGAGGTGTGAAGTGAGGTTGCTCCTTGAGGAAGCCGGTTAGATGGGGCTTTTCCTGACCCTTAGCTTCATCCCCAGGGTGTCAGTGTTGCAGAGCCATCCCAGAACCCATCCCTGACCCTCAGGACCAGGGAAGGATGCTCTGAAGCAAATAACCAAAGCAGAACAGCTCCCAAGAGAGGGGACAGCTTGCACATGGTCTGGTCTGGTTCTCATCACAGGAGTGTCTCTTGTCACCACTGAGAAGGCAACGTGACTTGGTGCACCAGGGTCCTGCCCGTGCACCCAGCACCAGAGAAGAGAAGCAGCAGAGACCTGCCAAAGTCCCAGCAGCAGAGCCAGAGACACCAAATAAGACAAATTCAGTGCTCAGTGATGGTTGTTCCCTTTGGACCATCAAGGCATTTCCCTGGGGCCCTCCTGGGGACTGAACAAGGAAGATGTGGAGAATCACAGTGAGGACTGTTTCTTGACTCAAGTGATTGCTCCCTGAGTGAGACCCTCTCTGTGGGGGTAAAAGGAGAAAGCTACAGACAAGAAGATAGTTGGGAAATGGGAGCAAACGAACCCAAACCCAACAGCATCACACAACCAAGGCCTCTTCCAGCAAAACCTTCCAGAAGGAGATTTAAAGATGCCCCTACTGTCTCCCCCGGGTCCCTGCTGCTCTTCAGGCTTTAAACACATTGACCAAATTCCTGCTATGAAGATGAATCCCTCAAGCTGAGTGATGGTGGTGGCATCCCACGCCCCCCCAGCACTATTTCTTCCATCGAGTGTACACCAGGAACACTGAAATCACAGCAATGCCCACAGCTGGCAGGAGGTACAGCAGGGACGGTCGGTTGCTGTCCCCTGGGGGGACACTGGTCACAGTGTCACGGCCCCTGCTTGAGTCAAAAACTGGAGGGTTTCCAAGGGGATCAGCTCCATCTTGGAGGTTGCTGCCTGCCTCAAGCTGGGTGCTGGGGTGATGGTCCACACGGACCTCGTGAGTGCCCAGGGAGTTGCTGTCCCAGCTTGGAGGTGGACGTGAGTCTCTGCTTGCTCCAGCTGCCTCGTCTCCCCCAAGGTCTTCAGGAGCCACGGGTGTTGGGCACGCTGAGGAGACTTTGGAGAGTGCTTTTCCTGAGCTTGAGCTATCTGTGCTCACCATGAGCGGGTCGCTGCTGAAGGTGAGGCTATTGGGCAACACAAAAGAAGGCCTGCTGTGGCTTCTACCATCTGCCTCTGAGCTCTTCCCAGAAATGGAGAGGACACCTGGCTTGCTGAGCTCCACATCACTCTCGTTGTTGCTGCAAGGCAACCAGATGGTTGTAGCAGAGCTCGCGCAGGGTGCCGTCCTCCCAGACGTGCCTTCAGATCTTCCTGCAACAGCTGGGAGAGGGTCCACTGAGGCTGGGAGCACCTTTGGGAGACAACGAGAGGGGCTGGGTGCCATGGGGAGCACCCATTTGGCCTGGTTCTGGAGACCTACATCACACAACAAACCCACTTCATTGCTCAACCACCACATCTCCAACCAACAGCAAGGTTGGGTCACAGGTAACTAACTCCCAGCGCTCAGAGACGTAGAGGGGCAGGGAGGTGTTGGGGCTCCAGGGAGTCTTTTGGATTCAGCAGAGATATGGGAAGGAAAAGGAGAGAAAGAGCAAGGAGAAGGGTAGAAAAACGGCACCTAGAAGCCAGGAGGCTGACTGGCAAGTCAAGGAGGAAAAATAAGGAATCAAAAGCCTGCAAATCTTGGCTCCCTTCTCCCATGCTCCAAAATAACAGCATTAGGATGGGGATGTGATCACAGTGGGGTAGAAAGCTCTGACTAAACTCACCACCAGATCAAAATCTTACACTGCAGCAGAAAATCTCCCAGCCAGGGGGAGTTTGCAAGGACCTGTATGAAATGCAAGTGGTAACAGGAAAGGTCACCTACTTTCTCCTTGGTCAGCATGGAGGGGGTGCTGCTGGCTGTGTCCCCCCTGGGCAGTTCTTTCTCTTGTACAGGAAGCTTTGCAGAGGTGTCACAGGATGGAGAAGCATCTCTGGGTGCAGGACTAGGGGCTGGAGTGGCTGTTTCCATCCCAGTGTCTGTTGGGAAGAAAACAAAAGATATGATGTTCATTGGGAGACATAAAAAACAAGTTTGGCTCTTCCCCAGGGAGGCTGGAACAGGACACTGCCAGAGCTGAGAGGGTCACACAGGGAGGAGGACATTCAGCTGAGGTATCTTCTATCAGAAATGAAGCAAGTGCTTCTGCCAGGTCCTGGTCAGGATGTTGTACCAAAATACAGTGAGCAACAGCTGCAACAACTGGAGGGAAAACCAGGGGGAAGCAAGCTGCCAGGCTGGATTTCTGCACAACCCAACCCCACTTCCTTCCTCGGGGAGGTCACTGGAGCCCAGGAGATGGAGAGAGGAGATGGGTGGCAACAGCAGAGAGCTGTTCTCTTCACCTCTGTGAGCACTCCTGAGTGTCCATGAAACCAGATGCAAGCTGGGGCTTTCCTGCACCAACAGCCAGCACTCTTCTTTGGCAGAGTCCCCATGGCCTCCCAGCACAGCCCTATCCCACATCTGCACCTTCTCTGCCACCCTCCATCCTCCTTGACAAACATGGAGGGCAGAAAATCATAGAAAAGAACCACAGAATCATTTAGGTTGGAAAAGACCAGCAAGTCCAACTGTACACCCAGCCCTTCCAAGGCCACCATTAAACCACGTCCCTCAGCACCACATCTACACGGCTTTGAAATTCCTCCAGGGATGGGGCCTGACAACCCTTTCCATGAAGAAATTGTTCCTAACATCCAATCTAAACCTCCCCTGACACAACTGGAGCCCATTTCCTCTTGTCCCATCCCTTGTTACCTGGGAGAAGAGGCTGACCTCCTCTGGCTCCAACCTCCTCTCAGGCAGTTGCAGAGCCAGCAGGTCTCCCGTCAGCCTCCTTTGCTCCAGACTAAACACTCCCAGCTCCCTCAGCTGCTCCTCATAAAACTTGTGCTCCAGCCCCTTCCCCAGTTCCATTGCCCTTCTTGCCCTTCTCTGGACACACTCCAGCCCCTCCATGTCCTTCTTGTAGTGAGAAACATCTGGCAGCACCTTCAGCCCTGCTCCCAATCAGCAGAGTGCCTACACAGAGCTGCTGGGAAGAAAACTCACCTCCATCTCCTCCATGCTCTCGCAGCATCCTGACCTGCTTCTGCTCCACATCAAACTGCTGCTGTACAAGGAGGGGGCTGCGCACATCCACAAAGCTGCCCGGGGTCTCACTGTGCTCAGAGCTGCTCACAGCTGGTTTTTTTGGCACAGAGTCTGGGGGCTGAGCCAGAGCGGCCTCCTCCAGCCTCGGGGGTGACTCAGTGGAGACGTAGGAGTCCTCTTGGGGCTCATTCCTGGGCTGCTCGGGGCTGCGAGCAGCACCCGCCTCCTTGGGTGGAAGGGCCCTGCCCAGACCCAAGCCTGGCGCTCCGCGGTGCAGGTGGTTGGAGTTCCCAAAACACCCATTGTCCACACACACTGGGTGCTGCTGGCGGCTTGGCCAGGCCGGGCCCGGCTCCGGGGGGACAGCTGATGGCACGGCCACTCTGCCTGCTCCGGGGGTCCCCACTGCCACCTGCATGGCCTTAGTGGAGTGTGAGAGATGCCCCTCTCCACCGTGCCCATCACTCACTCCATCGCAGACCACGCTCCCAGGGAGAGGTGGCTGGGGGCTCTCCTGCTCCAGGTTTTTGGGGAGCTGGAAGGAAATGAGCTGTGTTAAATCATTGTGCCAGGATGAGGGTGTCTAGGACCACTGAGGTGCCCCAAACCCTGACCCAGTGGCCCAGATGAGCAGGGTGATGAAGTGGATTTCTCCTTGGCACCCACCACACAGCTTGAGGAGAGCCTGGACTAACAGAGCAGACCCTGCACTCCCACCCACAGAGGGGAAGCAGGACAGGGGAGCAGTTACAGGGGCCATATGAAGGCTGTAAGTTCCCAGATGCAGCAAACATGCAGCAACGATCAGCAGCAAGAGGCTGCCTGGGGTGTCCCCCAAGGAGCCTGGCCCTACCACAGGCTCCCCATATCCCACTGCACCAATGCTCTGGTCCTAAAGGGACCTCTGTCCCTGTCTGATGCATGTCCCACTCACCGATTCCTGCACCGGGGCCCGGGCATCCAGCTCTGTGCTGGTGGTGGTAGCACTGGGCTGGAGAGGCAGAGGGCAGCCTGTGGGCAGGTCTTGGTGCGGCGGCGCAGCCAGCGGGGCGTATGGAACAGGAGTGGGCTCTGGGAATGGCCTCTGGAAACTGGAGGTGGGACGGTCTGCAGGAGGGACGGAGGTAGGAACTGCACGATGGGGACCTGGAGGAACCAAGGTAGCTCATCAGCAGGGACGTCAGGATCTAGGACAACTCTCTGCTGCCAGGTCTCCTCTGGGACATCTCTCCACAGATCAACAGATCATAGAATCATAGCAAGGTTTGGGTTGGAAGGGACCCTAAAGATCATCTAGATCAAACACCCCTGTGCAGGCAGGGACACCTCCTACTAGACCATGTTGTTCCAAGCCCCATCCAACCTGCCCTTGAACACTTGCCAGGGATGGGGCTTTCATGACCTCCCTGGGCAACCCGTTCCAGTGCCTCACCATCCTCATAGTAAAGAATGTCCTCCTCAGATCTAATCTAAATCTACTCTCTTCAAGTTTCAAACCGTTGCCCCATATCCTCTTGCTACGTGCCCATGCAAAAAGTTCCACCCTGACACAGGGTTGTGCCAGTGTCCCAGCACAGCAACGTCCTGGCGTAGAGATGTCCCTTCTCAGGGATGTCAGGGGAAAAGCTGAGGATGCAGAGGACGACTGCAGGGCTGAGTCAGCTCCTTGCATCCCCCTGCTCTGTCCACACAACAGCCAGTCCCACAGCACCCCACTATTCCCCTTTCCATTTCCCCTCCAGGTGAGAAGCCCAGCCCACTGCCAACCCAAGCACCTTCCAACAACCATCCCTAGGCACATCACCAGTGCGAGCCTTGGGGACAGTGTCCCTTGGGGACAGCAACAGACACCCCCAGCCCCCTGCAAAGCTGCTTGGTGGACACTAGGAGACATAGTTGGGGTCCCCACCTCCACCAGACCCCCTGGGGCATCAGGGACGACGAGCTACGTACGGGTTTTCCAGGAGTCATAGACGTGCTGCAGCTCATCAGCCAGGTGCCCCGCGTTGTTCTGGCGCAGCGCGTTGATCAGATCGGTTCCCCAGCCCTGCCGGCACTTGAGGTGCTGGTAAAACTTATAGCCAGTGGCCCGGCTGCCCCGGGCCTCCTCCCGGGCGTGGAGCTCATCCTGAATAAAACACGCGGGGCACCTTGAGGGTCTGGCTCGGAGGGAAGGCAGGGGTGCCCTGCCTGAGCCGCACCCGGGGGGGAAGGGGATGGCAGGGCAAGGTGTTGTTGTTACCCTGTCGCTGTCGGTCAGGCAGCTGAGGGAATCGGCCAGCGAGGCCACGCGGATGTTCTTGAAGTGGCTGAGGTTTTTCAAAATGTGTTCGTAGACTTTGTCTTCAGCCAAACCCATCCTGCCTCAGCGACCTGCCGAGAGAGGGGCGCGGAACTGCTCGGCCTTCCCAACGGGAGCCTGACCCTGGGAAAGCCAAGGGAAAACCCTGGGTGGGAAACACGCGCAGAGCTCCTCTTTGGGCTCTGCTTTCCCGAGCCTCATTCGGTCCCGCAGCCGCCCGGCCCTTCTGTGTCCTTGCC